TGAATTTTACCGATTTAGGCAATTTTTATGAATTTGCTCTCGAGAAAACTACAACGAAACGAATCATACATAATGCTTTTCGCGTTTCTTGATTAAATAGACATTTCCATTTTATTATCGCCGCGCGGAAAAAATGATTATTTTTCATTTTGAGTTTTTGAGCAGAAAACATCTTCCCTTTATTAGTTTCCACATTCCGCAAATTGACAAATATCCTAGTTTGTCATTTCCTTAACCACTAACTGATTTTTCTTTAAGTCGAAAGACCTTACCTTCGTTCTCTCTCACAGCAACCTGTGCCTCGTTTGCATTCTCCATGGCTGTTAAATAGGACGTATTAGCTACATCTTCGTCTTCGTCTTGACCTTCAATTTCATTTCTTTCAATTTCATATTCGTCTTCAGCTAAATCGTTGTCATCTTCATCGTCATCTCCACCTCCATTCTCACTCTCTACCTCTCCATCTTTTTTATCGCCTGGATATTGATCTTCAGTGTTTATGTCATCTTCATATTCGCCAGTTTTGTCTTCTTCATAAAGATCGTTGTCATCTTCATCACCGTCTTCATCTCTATTTTCACTCTCTTCCTCGCCTTCCTCTCCATCATCCGCATGTCGATCTTCATTGTCTATCTCATCTTGATCTTCTTCTTCCTCAGCCCAACCGTTTTCATCTTCAACATTTTCATCATCGTCCTCGACCAACTTTTCAGTGTTATGAACGAAAGCACCGTTTGCGAAGCCATTATTAAAATCTTCACCTAAGAAGTCTTCCAGTTCTGTTGCCGTTTCTTTAGGCACTTTAGCACAGCTGCAGAAATCTAGTAACAGTGCAACACAAATTAGAACCAATAAAATGTTGGCAAACCATCGAGCCGCCAACATTTTCTCCCTGCCTTCGGCTTCCCGAAAGCACCTGGCTAATCCCCGAAGAAACACAGTTATTTAACTCTTCCATCATGGTGATATTAATCTACTGTCGAAGTCAGGTCTTCAAGAACACATATTCCTTGATATGAGACTGTTTACGTATGAGAATGGTCCTAAAATTGCGCCTTTCTATTTTGGTTATAGGTGAAAATTCTAAGGCTATATTGTCTATTTTTGCACGGATTAATATCAGCGTATTTCATCTAATTAAAACACGACATCACTATCTGCTATAATATGATGGCAACTTAGAAGCGTTTCCCCTAAGTTGAGAAACACAGTGGGTGGACAACCCTCCATTGAAACAGTAGATTTGTCGGAAATGCTCCTTGAATTGCTTGGTAACGATATATGTCACCAAGCGAACACTCAGTCTTAATATCGTCTCTCCGTCCTCTATTTGACCATGCATTTAGTGGTAAAGCTTTCATTGAGGGAAACTTAAAATGAATGAAGTACTAATTAAGGAGTCAGTAAATTAATGGACAGGTCTTACAGTATCTTCTTTGGCATGATTCATAGAGGCGGTATCAATTAAAATCTTTTCCTCACGAATGATATGCCGGCTTTAGAAATAAAAGATGCTGAATGCAAATAAAGAAATTGACGGGCAATCAAGTCGACATATCTAGCGTCAAATTCCACAGCAGTCATAGTAAGGGAGCGCGAAAAAAGTTCTTGTCAAGAATAATTTTTGTCACATGGCGATCAAAGCTTTCTGCAGTATTCTTACAATTGCAACACAATTGCAACGTGCAGGTGCACAATTATTTCACTTCTCCTTGACTTTAACTTTGAGGTCGGATCTTTATTCTTGAGGAAGAAATTAACCCGAACATTTGATCAACGTTCCTTTTTTAGGAGATAAATTTTCCTTTTGGTTGTGTGATTTGCTTCCTTTTCAGATTTTTCATTTAGCTAAGTTCGCAAACGGCGCATATGTCATGTGATTTCCCTTGATTTCCCCGAAGTTACATCAATATCCAGTCGTTCTGTAATATCTAAAATGAAATTTACTAAACTTCAGTTGTAATAACCAGACGTTTGGAGTTTTAAAAAAATAATAATAAAACAATTATTCCATTCGCGCTAGTTGGATATGAAATGGTTATAGCCAACTCGGCGCTTCTTTTCAAAATTGGACGTCTTTCGTTTTATAAATAATTTAAATCAACAATATTTCTGGTCAACTGAACGAAAGTTCTTTTTGACACCAGACTAGATTAAATGGAGAGAGAGAGGAATTGCTGCAAAAAGAGGACTTATAAGACGCACTATTCTATATGAACTGCACCATTTAGCATTTATTGTCAGTATCTGTTTTAGTGTTAAGCAAAATCACACTATTAATGCCGCAGAAAGGTTTGATAAGCCCTCAAGAAGCAACACTCGTATTTTGCTTAAGCCCTGAGCAACTCTCAATGGTACGGCCTTCTGTCTCGTTTAGAACCCTAAAAAAGGTCTAATATTGTTCTTCAGATTTGTCTGAAAGCTTCTGAAAGTAACCTTTCAAGAAAGTATTACCCGCAATATCTCCAATAATATTGCCTTCAATACGCTTAGGACGTAGTCTGAGAATCTGTCTGTTTCGGGTCGATCGCGCATGCGCTTTGCAACAAAATTGGTAAGCATTTCTCCCATAAAGTCATTCTCGTCCCCAGAGCCACTCGGCTTAATTTGTAACCGACCAGTGGGTCTGAACGCAACGGAAAACACGAATTTTTTCATTGGCTGAAGGTAATTGAATGCGCAAAGCAGATTAAAAATATAATCTACTGCGCATAGCATTTTACTTCGTGCCCTTTCGATAACACGTGTGTCTGAGTTTCGTTGATTGCGACAATCCTGTTTTGTTTATATACAATAGCAGTAAAGAAGAGAATTGCAGATAAAGTTTGGGAGGTTTCTACGAAGATAACGAGCCTTGACAAAGAAAGTATTACCTTCGTTGTGTGCTAAACGTTACCGTTTCTACCGTCGCATCTCCTGAGAAACTGAAAGGAGGAGTAATGGTTAGTTGGCTCTTGGTCCTTGCTCGTTAAAAATCAAGCGATTGATACTGTACTTGTATGGCGTTATTAATTAGTCTAATCAGTTTTTCTAATTCCTCTGGATATTAGTCGGTGCTACAGTAGGAAAGGAAATCAAGCTCCGACTACATTACAGAAGTGATACGTACGTTAAGTTTACTGCAGTGTGCTTTTAATTTATTGTATTTTCTGCTGAAAGAACGTCTTCTTTGCTATACTAAGGTCAAGATAATATTTTGTTATATGCCTTTATTTCATTAGACCACTGATGGCAGTGCACAAAGCCAGAACTGAATTGCTTATGAATCATTTTGGGCTGCATGCAAAAGGCAGTTTTTTAATTATGTAAAGATGATAGAGCAAGTACTCTTTCCAATCTACGTTTTCTTCCAGTTAATTAATGCTTAATTTTTATTTCAACAGTAAGAATTGGGCTTTGAAAGGAAAGGCTATGTGGCTGACTTGTTACAAATGTTTTGCAAGAAGATATTCTCATCCTAACAGTCCTTGTTTGGCTTCCAGTCGTGTGGCATTTGGACAAAGACAAACAAGGGGCTCTGGGGTTATTTATAACTGATGAACAGTTAACAAAGAAGCAGCTTTTGCACAATTTTTCTTGATAAATAATTATGTTATCTGATCACTACATAAGGTAGCGCAATGTTCTCAACCTTTTTGGTTTAAGAATTCTAAAATACAAGAAAACTTAACTGTTTATAATAAGGCATACATTATGTGAAAACTGGTCTAGATTTTTTGACGATGTTAGGGACAACTGAGCAACAGCAGCTAGAGTAATCTATTGGGTAAGTGGTTATTGATGATAACAACTGGATTTTGCACCTTTGATAGGGTGGATAACATTATAGCTTGATCAACAGTAATATCATAGTTTACGTGTCAATCCTAACCACACCTGCTCTCCACCCCTCCTTGAGCTTGCACACAGCAGTGGCTTACTGAAGCATAGGGCATCTTAGTTTACCTGGTTATTGACAATAATGATGAGCCAAATTAAAACTTGCTTCCACTGGTCAAAGATTCAGTTCTGGTAAAAATTTTTCCTAGTTGGAGGCCTCATGTTGTAACACAAAGTTATGAATTTTAAGGAAACTAAAAAATTATACATTATCAAAACCAGATATTGTACTTTAACTCTATAAAGCAGCACATTCAGTTTCAATACAACTGCAGATGGTGGGGATTGGGGTGGGGCACTACCCCCCCAAAATCAGTTCAGATTCACCCTGCAGTATGCTTCTTGCCTTGCCAAATTTTGACCAAACTATGTGATTTTCACTATCCTATTTCAGGCCTGTTCCAAAGTTCTATCCCCAATTTCAAACCTTGCAGGGCTTGCACTCCAGTCTTAAAACATGATGAGAGTGGCTACCCAAGAAAATGCTTTTGGGTTGTGTGTTACTCTTAAAGCATAGAGTCTATATACAGTGCATATATCACTCTACATTTCACTGTTCCAGATAAGAAAATACAGCTATATAGCTAATGACAACCTGTTCTAGGCATTCAGATAGTGAGAAGTAGCTAGAGCATTAAAAAAGCAGGGTTTTTTTAGTTTTGTTCTCTTTGCACCTTCCCCAATACCTGAATGTCTGGCACAGGCTACCATAAACTACTGCTTTTTTTAAAGCCTTCAAACACCCCCCCGCCCCCACAACTTATAAGCCCCCCAGTTATAGGCCCATTTACCAGTGAACAACAAAAAATGTCCCCCTGGTTGTAAGCCCTCCCCTAAGAAAAAAAACCCTTAAAACCCCTTCCAAAGATGTGTAACCCATGAGCTGATAAGTGGTACTTAAACAGGTTTCCCTCTGGAAGCATTTGCAAAATTACCATCCCTTCTTAAAAACTAGTGTCCTGGGAAACAATTTTTATTAGTAACCGGTAATCAAAAGTACATATAACTGTTTATACCCCTACAACAGAGGTGACAAAAGCCCACCTATACTGTGAAAGTTACAAAACCATGAATAGCAGAAATATTAAGGAATGCTATTCCGTTGCAAACAAAAAGCTAAT